AGTGCATGTTACTGAAGTTTAGTGTCTACACATGTTTACAGAGAAGCTATTACTTTCTTAGGATTATCTACAGATATAACTGGCTTGTTTGGTTATGTAAGAATCTATAATAGAAATATTTTAAAAATCCAAAGTTGCAAATTGCTAGCATGTTACTAGCTCTCTGTGCAGCATTTGTGCACAGTACTCATTTTTCTAGTTTTGGGAGCAAGCACATATAACAGATCAAAGGTAAGAGAGGACAGAAATTGTGAAGGTTAAAACGAAGTAGAGGTATTTTCCAGAATTCAAAACATGCTGTGAAAATAATTAAAGCTACCATGTCATGGAAGTACAAGGCTTGAAACTGGTAACGATGTATACCAAGTTTGGACAAAGCAAGTCACTATTCATGTATACTCGTAAGAATATGTTATTCTTATGGTCCAGAATCAGGTGAACCCACTATACTAGTTTGTAACTTACTGACAAAGAAGTGTACAACCATGGGAAGGTAATTTTTGCTGTCAGTTACTCACGCATAGCTCTAGTCATTCTAATAGAATTTGGATCCATGGGCGAAATGAGTCCCGGATACATTAGGTTACACTTCCTTATATGAAATGTTCTCAAATTCTCATTTGTTTCCTGTCTTTCTTCCTAAATGAGATGTTTATGCATGAAAAATTTCTCAGAATGAAATGTGAAATACTTCAATGCTTGTAACACACATATTGTTAATTCTTCCCAAAAGTCATTTGGAAGCCCTAATGAATGGCTGAATTAGCTAAAATCACAGTTCTATCACTGTTATTGAGATGTGTGGGCCCCTCTGACTTTATTAAACTTATATGAGCACAGAAGGACACCACACTAGGATACCAGAGTGGTAGGTACCTGAAGAAATGCTATAAATACATAGATAAGAAATGAAAGAATGGAGCCTAATGGAAAAATTATGTGTACGCATTATAGAAAGAGTAAACTACGCTTTTTCACTGATCTTATTCCTGCGTTGTTGGTTCTTGAGAATCACATAAAATCACAGGCAAGTGTGTATGCTACTTGTATGTACCGTAGAAAGCATTACAAATTGGAATTCATAATATAACTTTTGTTTTCCAGTATGCACTTAGTGATAATTACATACATTTTTCTTAAAATAGTACCTAAAAGCCTTTGACAGCTTACATTACAGATTAGAAAAAGAAACCTTGAATTCAGTGAAGGGATTTTTGTTTTATTTTGCTTTGTTTAAATTACATCCTATTTCGTGTTTTGAAGAACATGGAAAGGATTGTTCAACTGATGTGCTACAATCTCAGCATTCTGTTTTAAAGACTAGCAGATATTTGTCAGCTAGAGGCATAAGGTTTGAGAGAGAAGCACATAGGTGTAGAGAAAAAAGCACTTAAAATCCAGAGAATCACTCATTCTCATGTGGACACTAGGAAGAGGCCAACATGAATAAGCCAAAAGCAGGCATGGAAGCAGGAAAACACAGTATCCACTACAGCCTTATAGATTCCATTGCTTTTTCCTTGATAATAATATTTCCATTGAGACAATCTCCATGTTCTGCAGATCCCAAGTATAGCTCAAGAACGAAGTTCCTCAGACTGAGCTAACCATATTTGCAGCAACATATTTCTTCCTTCCTGCAAGATTCTCTCCTATTTCCCATTTTATGTTCTCTTTTTCATTCATTTTATTTGTGTTCTAGATCTTTGTATTTATTTTTAAGTGCTAGGTTACAAATCTGATACAAATGCGGCCTTCTTTTGAGAGATGGGTTCCCTCCGCTTGATTAAATCCTGTTATTCCCCTCAAAGATCTTTCTAGTTCATCTGGAGTGAAATCCAATTATCTGTGAAGGACCTATATGTATATGTGTGTACATATATATATATGTGTGTACATATACATATATATATGTATTTTTTGGCATTATGTAAATTTCTCTGGGTAGCAGGTGATGTTTAAGAGTAGGAGCATAGTGTAGTATGGCAGAAGCAAACACCACAGAGGTCACCACAGAAGCAGTAAGGAGTACAACAGGTGAGTATGGTCACCGGTGGTGTAGCCTTACTGAGGTGATCATTTTTTACCCTTTTATTTATCCTCATTCAAGTTGGATCTTCAGCATTATTTAATTCAAGAGCTTTTCACTCCAAAGGCAAATCTCTGCATCATAATATAAAAGGACACGATGAATTAGAGGCTAGAAGACACAGAGTACATCAAGTGTGTGTTATGTTAAAATTTTACCAGTAGTAAAAAGGGCCATTGTCTAGCCAACTGGCAAGAACAGCAACTGCATCTGGACACCTCTGAAAGCAGTGTGCATGATAAAACTCCTG